ACGAATTAATATGCAGTTCGGGCTTCCGATAAACTCTGGAAACTAAATGTCATATTTACATGGGAAAAAATCTGGTTTAAATTCAAGCCGAGTAGTATAGCGGAATGAGAACAGAAAACAATGCACAATGCCACGACGTTTTTATGGTTACGATTCGTAATTAGAGAGTAGTAAACATTTACGATTATGGAAAGCCGTTAAGTGGTACGTTTTCTATTATCTTTACGTTTAGAATGAAAATGCTGGAGCAAAAATTGGAACGTATATAAAGTCTCTAAGATTTAGGTTAATATGATGAGAACATTAAATGAGCTGCTTTAATATGAACTAAAAGATTTCTTAGGAAGAAGCATAGTAAAAATGGTATTTTTGCACCAGTTCAAAATATACTAGGGAACATCGAAGGCACTAAACTGCAGGAGTTTATCAAAACACATAGCATAACATGAATTCTCAGCACCATCATCATTCATCAAAAAACCATGGTTGAGCATATGGCTTATCCCGGTACTCTATCTAGTTTTTCTGCCTCTGGTATCCGCACTTCAAGTAGTGTCACAATCTAGTTAAAGGCCGCCCGTTGCTTTTGACATCCTGAAGATTTTGCCCGGTTTCTCAAGTTTGTCATCAAAGGTAGGTATTCATTCGGGACGTTGTCTCTCGTGGATATAACCCCTTTACCTGCAAAGTGCTGGTACCGTTTGCGAATGACGTCAAATATCTAAGAATTACTCTAAATAAAACGCTTACCTGCATAGCGCTACTTTGGTTTTCCGGTAAGGAAGCTTTTAATTTCGGAATTTTCGGGAAACTCCGGCGCCACCCTTAGGATTGTATATTATAAGGGCCCACGTGCCTTAAGTAGTTTTTAAACAGTGGAGACGGAAACACCAGAGGTCAATGCGATTTGTTCCGAGTCCTGGTGATTGGAGTGATAACAGCTGATCGCGAAAAACAAAAACCTTCGGAAAAGCCCTTACCACTTTGACCTTTTAATACCTACGTTATGCCAAGCAACATTTGATCAACAAATACATACGAAACTTGTCTGCCATCAGCCGAAAATTGGATAATCCTTTTCAAAACTGACAAGTAGCTTATCCGATTTTCCCGTATTACCTGGCACATGCATCAATATTGCAATAATCCAAGATATTCACGCGGGCTTCGTAGAAAATCCAATATGGCGTTACATCGTAAGACGAGAATGCTGTACACGGTTCATATTTCAAAATAGGTTTCGTGAACTGGAATATTGAAACGGCGACGGTCCTTTGTCAAAAAGTCCTTTTGTGGAAAACTTATACCTACAATAATTTAATAGTACAGTCTAATTCAATAACTTCAATATTAATAAAGTTACGTAGCTCAGGCGCAAATAATTAAAATTTCCAAAATTAGTTGAGCAAACTGTTGAATAATTTATAGTACCTAAATAAGTGGTCAGTTGCCTGGTCGGATCCATATAACAAAGTTTAGTAACTTGTTGATAGAACTAATAGCGAAGTTTCACATGATGAAACATGCACCATAAAAGTTGATTAAAACCATTACTAGATTTTTTTTCTTCCTAGCGTGTTTCATTTCCGGACTATTTGTTGCATGCAACACCGGAAACCTTTTTTGCTGCCGGACCCCAAATAGAGAGTTGCTCACCTGCCTGGATAGTAATTTGAGCGTGCATACGTTCCTCAAAGACCGGAGCCCTCTTTCCGGTCTCTCCGCTCGCTCGCTATATAGCGGCTAATTCGATTCTGTTACACTTTACGCCTTTCGGAAGTTGAAAAGCACATCATGTTCCTGTCATGAAAAATGCTTTATTGTTTACAAGTTGTAATAACCACTAGCTTTGAAACTGGCTTGTTTTATTTAGATTTAGTAAATAAAAAAGTCCCGTTTATAAACGAAATTTATTTCGGGGTACATTCCAACAAATAAGATTCCAGGATTGTAATACACAGTGCATCGTTAGGTACATTTCAAAAGGAGAAATCCAAGCGGCTAAGATTGGTAGCTCCTCTGCTCGCTTCTGCTTTTCTTTTCTGGGTCGCGCAAAACTAGAAAATCCTCTCTCCGGTATTTCAAGTCAGACAATATTTATTTGATTTTCTTGCTTTATCCCTCGTACCTATTTCTGGATCTAATAACACCATGTGTGTGCGCCTCTGAAAATATTTTCCTTGTTAAAATGTAACCGTTGGCAATCTAAATTGGATTAGTTTACATTACATTAAACGCCATTCTTATTAAAAAAAGCCATTTTCAATTTTCATCAACACGCAGGTATATAGACTTGTCGATTCGCGTTAGGTTTATTATTTTCCTGACAAGTTAACAGCGCGGTGTCGAGCTCTAACTTATTAATTTCACGGTAGATTGGTGACTGCGGAAGAAGTTTTGAGTGATCCGTATTAGAATTTTCTTTGTTCCAAAAAAATCCCTGGAGGAAAAAATAATTTTTAATTTGATCCGAAACACAGTATGGTATGGAGTACACTACTAGAATAATTTTTCGCTTTGGGGAAAACTTTTCTTGGCGAGAGAAACGATACTGGCAAAGTAAAAAGTGTGCAAAATTTTAAACGTTTCCAGAGTAAAAATTACTTTGCAGGAACCGGTCATAGCTATTTCTTCTCACGTAGCGAGCTCCGACCGTCTGTGTAGCAGTTCTTTATTAAAGAGTTTTCGTGTTAACGTACAAAAATTGCTTTTTATCGCTGGAGAGGAGTTATTATGAATACAAATACCTTTTTTGTTAAGGTGGGGATTACACAGGCATGATTTCACAGGGGAGAGTGAGTAAACACTAGACAATGTTGAGAAGTAATTTTTTTCATTGAGGTAGTTAGACACCTCTATGCTTTGAACACAAACCAGAGATTCCGGAGTCACAGTTTCAAACTTAAAAGAGAGGAGAACTACTCCACAGTGTGTAGGGAGAACTTTCTACAAAAAAAAGTCTTTGCCCCCAGGGTCTTGTTTCTCAAAACCGAGGAACAGCCTTCTCATAAGAACGAAGGTTCTATCTTCGTCGCCCATATACATATATTTGCATAACACTGATAAAGACAAACGAATCGTTCTCAGAGAACGCTGTTTCTCGGTTTTGACAATAAGGACCCTGAAATCAACTTTCATCCAAAACAGTTAGGACAGGTATTATAATTTCCGGTTAATCAAAGGTTAATTTCAGCCCAAGGTTATCTACACATTCACTTTAGGTTGAAATCAACCTTCGGTCAACCAGACATTATACCTAATATCGGCCCTTAGTGTCAGTATTCAAGACAATACTTGATAGTCAGTTCCCATAGTGCTTAAACCCTAACAAACGCTCAAAAACTAACAGTCCTTAAATAATTGATAAGTATAGCATAGGTGTCACCTCAGCCCATATCGACTAGATTGTAATAGTGTCACACGCCTTGCGGCTAATGTGGGTAGAATCTGAGGTTAGGGGTTGCTCTTCAGGACAACACACAACTACAAAAAGAAGCTTAACGTATTTTGTCTGCTGGTGGGTACATCACCAAAGAGGTACTGCGTAGGTGCGCCACATGATTCTCACATTCGGGGCTCTACGTACATATACGGGGATGAAATTCTGGTTCTGGTTCTGCTGAATCCAGAGCGGAAGAACCTGGATATGTTAGCAGAACGACTTCTCTATGCCTTTTGACTGGGGTGTTTTCCCGCTTTTCAAATTACTGCCGTTTCGGGATTTCTAGCCTCCAAATTGAAACCTGAAACGACTTCTTTGGCTCACTTTCCTATATGGGGCAAAACTCTTTGGGGTGAGGCGACCCTCAAGAGGATTGCTCCAAGATTCTCTAAGGTAAGGCGACCCTGAAGAGAAGTGTAGCTACTGCTCCTTTGGGTAAGGAGACCCTGAGGAGCGAAGGACCCAAATGGGTACTGATACTATGGGCTGCATCGGTTTTTATATTCATTTCGTGTAAACATTAGTTTACGTTTTTTATATACAGATTGATTTTATTTATAGGCCAGTTGACAATATTAATAGTAATACAAGCTGTCCTTAGATGAACTGATACATTTTACAGGTGAATATCTCGAAAACGAGAAAAGATAACGGGATGCGGTTTGTGCTGGAAGAACAAGGATTTTTTAAAGTTTTTTTTCATGTTATTAACGAATCCTGAAATTTGGTTTTACAGACATTCGATTTTTAGAAATAATCACATACTGCCTTATTCTTGATGAAACACCCGGTATATTTTGTCATCGTCAGAAAGCGTGACTTTTCTACTTTACAAAAATGTATAATTTTTTTCAATTACCTTTAAATTACATCCTAAAAATTGCACTTTGTTAAAAAGGGTACCATCAATTGGCCAAAAAAAAAAAAAAAATACTTCAAATATTTAGAGGGACTTCAAGCTTTCAGGATTTATTGAGTAATGTCTTTTTATCAAACAGAACAGAACAAACCGCGAATGGATATCAGGCTCAGAAATGGAATTATGAATGTTTTCTCATTTAAATGCAAAAAATCTTTAAATATTTCTATCAAACTACCTTTGGAAGCTTCTGAAAATACTTCAAGCAATCAAAGGGACTTCAAACTTTCAGGATTTATTGAGTAGTGTTTTTTTATCGAACAGAACAAACCGCGAATGGATATCAAGCTCAGAAATCGAATTAAGAATTTTTTCTCATTTAAATGCAAAAAAATCTTTAAATATTTCTATCAAACTACATTTGGAAGGTTCTGAAAAATACTTCAAGCAATCAAAGGGACTTCAAACTTTCAGGATTTATTGAGTAGTGTCTTTTTATCAAACAGAACAAACCGTGAATGAAAATCAGGCTCAGAAATGGAATTATGAATTTTTTCTCATTTAAATGCAAAAAATCTTTAAATATTTCTATCAAACTACCTTTGGAAGGTTCTGAAAAATACTTCAAGCAATCAAAGGGACTTCAAACTTTCTGGATTTATTGAGTAGTGTCTTCTTATCAAACAAAAAAAACCGCGAATGGATATCAGGCTCAGAAATGGAATTATGAATTTTTTGTCATTTAAATGCAAAAAATCTTTAAGTATTTCTATCAAACTACCTTTGGAAGCTTCTGAAAATACTTCAAGCAATCAAAGGGACTTCAAACTTTCAGGATTTATTCAGTATTGTCTTCTTATCAAACAAAAAAAACCGCGAATGGATATCAGGCTCAGAAATGGAATTATGAATTTTTTGTCATTTAAATGCAAAAAATCTTTAAGTATTTCTATCAAACTACCTTTGGAAGCTTCTGAAAATACTTCAAGCAATCAAAGGGACTTCAAACTTTCAGGATTTATTCAGTATTGTCTTCTTATCAAACAAAAAAAACCGCGAATGGATATCAGGCTCAGAAATGGAATTATGAATTTTTTGTCATTTAAATGCAAAAAATCTTTAAGTATTTCTATCAAACTACCTTTGGAAGCTTCTGAAAATACTTCAAGCAATCAAAGGAACTTCAAACTTTCAGAATTTATTGAGTAGTGTCTTTTCATCAAACAGAACAAACCGCGAATAGAAATCAGGCTCGGAAATGGAATTATGAATTTTTTCTCATTTAAATGCAATTTTTTTTTTTAAATATTTCTATAAAACCGCCTTTGGAAGCTTCTGAAAAATACGTTGAGCAATCAAAGGGACCTCAAACTTCCAGGATTTATTGAGTAGTGTCTTTTTATTGAACAGAACAAACCGCGAATGGATATCAAGCTCAGAAATGGAATTATGAATTTTTTCTCATTTAAATGCAAAAAATCTTTAAATATTTCTATCAAACTACCTTTGGAAGGTTCTGAAAAATACTTCAAGCAATCAAAAGGACTTCAAACTTTCAGGATTTATTGAGTAGTGTCTTTTCATCAAACAGAACAAACCGCGAATGGATATCAGGCTCAGAAATGGAATTATGAATTTTTTCTCATTTAAATGCAAAAAATCTTTAAATATTTCTATCAAACTACCTTTGGAAGGTTCTGAAAAATACTTCAAGCAATCAAAGGGATTTCAAATTTTCAGGATTTATTGAGTAGTGTTTTTTTATCAAACAGAACAAACTGCGAATGGATATCAACCTCAGAAATGGAATTTTGAATTTTTTGTCATTTAAATGCAAAAAACCATTAAATATTTCTATCGAACCACCTTTGGAACCATGCATGTAATTTAAAGATGTACATGCACCTTGTTGAAGAGTGTACTTTTATACTTTTATATGCACTTATTTGTGTTTAATACTTTTATTATTAGTTAACTATGCGCTAATTAGTGAATGAAAGTATTTAACACAAATTAATTCTCAATTTTTTGTTGGTTAGTCGATGGTATTCCCTTCGACAAAGTACAATTTTCATGATGCAAGCTCAAGATAATTGAAAAAAATTATACATTTTTGTAAAGCAGAAAAATCAGACTTTCTGACGATGATAAAATATACAGGGTATTTTATTAAAAATAAGGCAGTCATTTTATTTCAAAAAATCGTATGTCTGTAGAACCAAATTTCAACAAATTTTAGGAATCGGCAATGATGTGAAAAAAACTTTAAAAAATCCTTATTCTCCCAGAACAAACCGCATCTCGTTATCTTTTCTCGTTTTCGAAATATTTACCTGCAAAATGTGTCAGTTTATCTATGGACACCCTGTATTATGTCAAATTTTGGTTTTAACAAGGTAAAGATGAAAAATAACAACTTCTGGTGACTCATCAACTATTCGGAACTGGGGGCTATTTATCTAAAAGTTCTTGCTCTGATAGGTACTTTCTGGGAAAACTTGTTTGTAAGCATCCTAGGTTCCTGCTACTTTCCTCCTGAAATCAGTCGTCAGGTTCTCGTTTGCGGAGACAGGGTGAGTCGGCAGAAAAATGAGCCTGAAATGCGAGAAGAAGACACAAATTGAGATACAACACAACCCTTATATAACTGTCATAATCTGTATTATAAATTTGTAGCTTAAAATATAATTCTAAGACTGCCATCGGATGTCAAAGAGAGTATATAATGTCAATTTTACCTTAACTTTTAATTTGGATCAAATTATCATGCATAACACTACTTTACATCTTATCAAAGCATGTGAATGTAGTTGGATTATTTATGATACTTGGATAGAATATAAAGTCAACGCTGACAATTTTGCGCAGTATCGTTGCGAAAACTGGCCGTTACCGCACCCAATATTTCAGACGCAGTGGCAACACACATATAATTTCCAACACGTGTCATATTCTATTGCGCTCGGTTGAAAGCAGTCTTAAAACGTCCCCTTCATCTTGTCGTGACGATTTTTAGTTTTCACACACGTCCGGGTTCGCCAGAAGTTCCGGCTTGGTGTTTCACTCGGGCGCAAATTGTCCGGACAGGAAACAATCGTCAAGAAATTGTGACAAGGTAGATTTCAAATTGGAAAAGTTGTGTATTGCTTTTGAAATTGAGCTTGAATGCTTTTATTTAAATTGCACCATTTTTGAGGTTATGACTGCACAATACAAACTAGAAGACACGTTATATTTAATATTTATCTTAAAATATAAAGTTGAGTTAAACATGCATTCCCTTATTAAGTCCAGCTTAAAGGTAACCATTATTGGATTCGGCTAGAGTCAGTTTGCTCTTTGACAAACTTTAAATAAAGCGAATACATGCCTCGGAAAACTTCTAAAACAGATATAAGGCACTTTCGGAATTAAATGAATTGACAATGGCTCGAGGAGAGATGCCTTAGAGATTATAAAGATTTGAATCTCGGGAATTCCACAATTACACGGTAAAGAGGAGGTAAAGGCTTGGAGTAAATAAAAATTATTCGTATGAAAATCTTGTTGGAATTTCACTGCCATGAATAATTTTGTTTGCAAAACCCGATTCTCAGCACATTCCTAAAAAAATAATTGTTTCCCATAATATATTCACGCAGTGTTTTTGACGTGATGGTTTTCATATATGCCCTATAGAAATTTCCAAAGCCGTCTGCGTCCAATCAACATTGAGCCTCAACACACAATAGCGTCAACCGTATAAATCAGTCATACTGACGTGCGACATGATGCGCTTTTCCGCACTCAACGTCCGAAGGCGTAAAGTGTAACAAAATCGAATTAGCTACTACATGTAAACCGGAGGTAAGCCTTGCGAGAGGAGCGCCCATGTTCAAATTATCGCAGACAGGTAACCTGGTTTAGAGAACAAAAAGCTTCTGAGGGCAATGGCCAATTATTTTAATTTCTAAAGCAAAAGTGCATTAAAAGCAAAAAACTGAAAAATAAAAATCCGCATACTCGCGATGTTACATTAATTAAAACTGGCTTTTATGTATATACTTTTTTTTAAGTAGCACTGTGCTCGAGGTTATGTTCAGGAAAACGACGTGCATTTCTTTATAATTTTATTCGGTTAGTAATATTTTCACTCGCTTCTAATTATCTAATCATCTATCCAAATTTAACAATCGATTATGCACCTAATACAAAAACTTAATGCAAGTCCTATTAAAGATTAGGCACTCAGGGGGCCCTAGGCGAAAACTTAAATCCACCAACAACTGCAAAGTTATGAACTTTGTCGGGAGGGGATTACGTTACCAAGTGTTGAGTTTCCAAGAAGAAAATAGAAACTTGGCTTTAATAAGGACGGCTATTATTTTGGTAAAATAAAGCGCGAACAGTTAAGGTTAATTTCGAGCAGGAAATGCCACCGGAGGGATAAGTTCCAGAACCATGAAGTGTCGGTTTACTCTATTGTTGTATTATGTTAACGCGTCTTTATTATACTAGTCAAGTGAATTTGTATTTCAAAACTCTTGTCCTTGAATCGGTGTGAATTTTAGGTTGACGTCACGTTTTCAGCTACCTAACTTCATTACATGAGCAACAAATTGATGTAAGTAGTAGTAATTCAGTTATTTAGATTTTACTATTGATTACCGGCAGCAAAGTCAAAGGATTTAAATAAAATTTGTCCTAAATGCACTCGATAGTTATATTGAAACGTTCGACCGAGTTTATAAATAAATTAATAAATAATTACGTTCAACAAATTATTCATGCCGTTTTCCATTTAGCAAATGGAAAACGGGCGGAAACTAAAATTCGAAAAACGTTTTATAACTTGTAGCCGGAAATACAAGAGTATATTATTTATGATACAAGAGGCACGATAACTTTTTTTTTCTGATTGACATTCAAACTGTTAAAAATATCTCTGCTACAAAATGTATATGATTATAAACAGCAAATTATCCGTAAATGTTATTAACCATCCCCTCTAATCAACAAGCACTCCATAAAGCCCAACAGCCGCACTTAAATCATTGAGATATAAACCACAAGACTATCTGAGCACGCCAACAAATCAACTAATTACTTATTCAAGTATTAATTAACCGTCGCCCTTTCGCCGTCAATATACCTACCAACAAAGAGCGCGTAGGTTATCGTTGCCCTATACTAACATCGAAACGGTATTGAGCCCTTAATTGCCTACGTCAGATTATCGTTGAGCAAATTTCATATTGGTTCGAAGTGGGAAATTCAATTGCATCATTTTGCACGTCTATGAACATCAATGTGAATATGTTTGCTAGTTAGTTTTTTTTTCCTCTTGTTTCAGTCTTATTGTTCCCATGCAACACTGTGTGGTTTATTTTAACCACTCCAATATTTTTGTGCCTTGTAAGAGGTTGTACAGGTCTTTTACTGGGTGGTGTTTCATTATTGTTTTCGGGTCTACGTTTGGTTGCCCAAAAATTCTGCGATCCAATGCCTCGTAGTTCACCAGGATGTGTCTGGCTGTCTTGGGTTTATTATTGCAGAGTCTGCAATTGAGGTCTCCGCCGTACAGGTTCATCCTGTTCAGGTGGACCTCCACTGGTGTGTGGCCAGTCAAGATTCCCGTTATGGTTCTTAGTTGGCTCCTGCTCATTTGTAGCAGTTCTGCGGCCCTTTTACTGCATGGTTGGTCGATGAATTCCCAACCATGATTCATGAATTCAGTATTTGATTTGGCTTCACTTTAGTATCCTTAGAGCCGGTTCTGGCCCGATAAGTTTTGTCTCTTTGCGAGTTCATCAGCTTTTTCAATGCCTTCGATTCCACTGTGTCCTGACACCCAGATAAGTTTCACCTTATTCTGGTTCGCCAGGGCCCTGAATTCTTCCTGACATTCCCATACTGGTCAGTGCCGCTTGACTATTAGACATTATAAGGATCTGCCTGTTGGCTCTGGCTCTCCTGTTGTTCTCCGCTGCGCATTGGAGTATAGCGTATACCTCTGCTTGAAAAACATAGGCATGTCTTCCCAATGCATAGTGATTCCTATAGTTGGCGAAGTATATCCCTGCTCCGGTACCAAACGCAGTCTTCGACCCGTCTGTGTACCAGGTCTGGTGTAGTGTTTTTTGGTCTCCGGTACGCCATGTTCCCATTAAGTTCTGCTTGGGAAGCTCACCTCGAATAGTCTGTTCAGGCAGTATCGTCTTGGCATGTAG